ACTGAGCTACAGCTGCTGAGCCCAAATTAAAACATTTTCAATAAAGTCGATAATACTTCATTTTGTTTTCCTTTAGAAAGGGATTAAGGTTGTAATCCTAGCACTCTGGAAGGCTGAGGCAGGATGATTGCTTGAGCTCAGGAGACCAGACTGAGCAAGAGTGAGACCCTGTCTCTATTAAAAATAGAAAAACTAAAAAAAAAAAATAGAAAAACTAGGTGGGTATTGTGGTGGACACCTGTAGTATCAGCTATTTGGAAGGCTGAGGCAGGACAATCACTTGAGCCCAGGAGTTTTAAGGTTGCTGTGAGCTCTGATGGCTGTAAGCTCTGATGACAGCTCAGTGACTCTCCCCAAGGCAATGGAGTAAAATAAAATGGGAGGGGGAGGAGATTGGTGATACTTAAATAACTAGCTAATCATATTAAAGGATTCTGTGGTTCCAGTTCAACTTTTAAAATATAACCTCTTTTAAAATTATCATGGTTTTTATATTCTATTGGGAAAGTTTTTGGATAACAAAGATTTCAAATGTTAAAAGATACAAAAATTGTTACATTGTTACAAATCTTGAGTCAGAAAAATTATATTATTGTATAGAAGTTACTTTACTTTCCTGATCAGGTTTGGAATTCAGCTGGTGCTTGAGAACTATTTTCTGTGACTTACTATGACTAAGTTTTATTTTAAGTTACATTTCTTTCCCAGAAGGGCCATGAAAATAGAATAGTCATTTAGTAGGAGATAAGAGATTAGTTTGGTCTTTTTCAATAAAGATAGAAGTTGTTGAGGTTTTCTGAATTAATATTGACCTAGATTGTGACATTCTAGATTTTGTGTTAAATTCTATTATATTACTTCCTAAGAGATACTGCATAAACATTAAGCACTAGTTAGCCAGGCATTTTGACAGGTGCCTGTATTCCCAGCTACTCAGGAGAATGAGGCAAGAGAATCGGCTAAGCCCAGGAATTGGAGGTTGCTGTGAGCTGTGATGCCAGGGCACTCTATCAAGGGCAATAAAGTAAGACTCTGTCTCTAAAAAAACAACAACAACATCATTAAGCCCTAGTGTGCTCTTGTTAATATGGCAGAGTTTTGTAAACTAAATTAAAACTTAATGATGTGTACTGGACTTGGAGCTAAAGGAAAGAATCAGTACTATCCTTCCATATGTCTTAAGAGTAAAAACTTACTCTGAGACAGTCTGTCTGCTCATTGAAGTTACTAGATTTCTGACTTGCAAATAGGCTTTGTGCTCAAGAAGAATTGTAGGAAAAGAAGATACTAGAATTCTAATTTAAGTATGGATTCAGCAGTCTTTGTTTATAATGTAAAATTCTTTATATTTATTTGTACAAAAGCTAATTCTTTTGGTAAAGTGAACCATTTACAGTTTGTTTTTAAACTCTGAGTGAATGGATTTACTTTTAAATGCTTGTCTCAGTTTTAGTGTAGTCTTTTGCACTTTTTCCCAGAAGAAATGAATTAAAGGGTACAGTTGGATAAAGTGGGTTTTTATCCTAATGGATTGGAAATAAATGATAAAGTATATTTTGCCTTTAATTTTTTTATTTTAAACCTTTCTGAAATATCAGGGATTAGAATGTGATAATGAAGGAGTTTGTATTGCACTAACTCTTATCAATAACAATTATAAACTCTGCCTCAAATATAAAAAGCAATGAATAGAAGGCTCTAGAGAGCAATCACAACCAGGCAGAGGTCAGCCCCTGTAGCTCAGTGGGTAGGGCGCCGGCCACATACACCAAGGCTGGTGGTTTTGAACCTGGCCCGAGCCAGCTAAAACAACGATAACTGCAACAAGAATAACAAAAAAAGCCGGGTGTTGTGGCAGGTACCTGTAGTCCCAGCTACTTGGAAAGGCTGAGGCAAGAGAATTGCTTAAACCCAAGGGTTTGAGGTTGCTGTGAGCTGTGATGCATGATGCCATGGCACTCTACCAAGGGTGACATGGTAAAATTCTGTCTGAAAAAAAAAAAAAATTGGCAAGATGGTGGCCAAGTAACAGCTTCCTTGCAACCGGGGATGGTGAGACTGTAGAGAGAAGACTCTAGAAATCTCTGGTTGGTGGGATCTGCCCAGAATCATCCCTTTGAGGGTATAGGGAGTCAGCGAGAGACTCCTGGACCCCATGAGGAGGACAAAAGCAGTGGAGAACTGTCTTTTCATCCTTCTGGTCCTGTACCAAAAGGACTCATTGAAACCCTAGTGCAGAGGCATGGTAACTTAAAGAGCAAGAGGAAGTGAAAGGAAAATTAGGGCAAGGAAACAGATAAAAGAAAACACTCATGAGGAGGAATCAGCAGAAAAATTTTGGCAACATGAAAAGCCAGTCCAGAGCAATCTCCCCAAGGGACCGTGAGGTAGCTACTACAAAGGATTCCGCCTATA